GTACTAATTATTGAGATAGAGCGGCCTGCTCTTAGGCATCAAAAAAAAAAAAAAAAAAAAAAAGAGAGTGGGGAAAAAAGGTTTTTAGTACTTTACCCTCCTGAATTACTCATGTTTTGGAGAATAACCCCGTTAAATTTTAAATTATGACATTAACTCTCAATTTGCCAAATCCTTACAATATAGCCCTAATTGATGACATCATTTAAATTGGTGGCTATACACACCTCACGCTTTTAGTGCTTTGCATGTTGGAAGTTTTTGTGCTTTGGTGCAAATTACACGATGAGCTTTTAACTTTGGTAATTAACCATTTTTTCGGTTTTCAATTTAAAGAATTATATCATATTTGGCAACGTTATAACGGTTGGATACCTTAAGGTTTTAGTTATAAAAATTAAGATTTAAAGGTCAATTTGTGAAATGACGAAAAATATAAGGAGGTAAAACAAAAACAAAAAAAAGTAAAAGGGGGGGGTGGTAGTGGGTACTTAGATCTGTCAAATTGTGGAGATATTAATCAAGTGGAGTGTAAAAGACTTTCATGCAATTGCCATGGGTTGTGATATATATATATATATATATATATATATATATATATGTATATGGGGACAAGATGGGGTCTAATACTTCTGAACATAGGTTGGGTTGCTCTATAGACAGTCTTATAAATCAATCGTATTGCCAAGGCTAATGTCATGTGGGTTTGTACTTGATGTGCTCAGAAGAAATAAAGTTTAAGCCAGTAGGAGTGCCCTTCCTTCCTTTCAAACCTTCAAACCAACTAGTAGAAGAACAATTATTTCCTACTGATTTGGGGCTATCTTACTCGTTTGACTCTCTCAGGTTCCAACAGAAAAGCCCCACATGTTTCAATTCGTATATATATATATATATATATATATATATATATTTCCTCTTTTTTCTTTTTAATCCACTTGCTGTGAATTCCTTCAAGAATGGGAAATTTCAGATCTTTTAGGGTGTGTTTGGTAAGAGGATTCGTACTCTGATTCGAATCATGGTTCATGGTTTATTACAGTATTTTCTCTCATAAAAAATACACGTAAATAAAAAATGGTTATAATCTCATGATTCTAATCTATGAACCAAACGTCTCCTAGACTGTTACTGCCCAGTTCTTTGTCCAACTAATGCGAAGAAAGTTTATAGCCCTTTTCAATTGTCATTGACTAACTAATTGATTATGTTGATAAAAAGAAAATTACTTGGAAGCATCACCACCACTAAACACCACTATTAATATAACGTGTACTTTATTAGTGAGTCTAATATTGTAGGACTTTCTTTTATTAGTTAATGGTGCTCGGAACCACCAATTCCTGATAGAGTTTCAAATTATTATTTGGCCATGTCTCAACATTCTTTACTAGTCTTAAAATTCCCCAGCTGCCTTACTCATTTCTATTTAAACTTGGATTTTGTTTCAATAGATCCCAATACTATCATTAATGATTTATGTGAAGAAAATAAATATCCCCATAAATCAAGCAAAACCCATGTAAAAGACTTAACCGAAGTATAATTTTACCATAGATGGTGAAGTCAAATAAAGTAATTAACTATTCCCTCATCTTACTTGCTTTTCAAAGACAATTTTGTATAATTGCCATCTTTCCCTGTGTTCTTCACTATTTATTACCATCAGTTGGTTATTTATCATTATGACTCAGGAAATCTATAGTGGTGTTCAATCCATCAAACACGGTCATAGACGAAAAGTACCATCAAAGTGGTGTTTATTTGAATTTAATTTAATTCTTTTTTAGTTTCTAAAACTGTTTAGAGCATAAGCAAGCAGACACCCCAAAAGTTATGCCAAATTGCCTCAAGAAGACAGATCACCGACTAATCTGATTGATTGTTTAAGGAAGAAAAATGAATGAAAAAAAAACTGATAACTCATAGAGAATAACACTAGATCCATTAACATTTTTTATTTATCAGAAATAGAAATGCATTGGAATAAAGCCTTATCTTAAAAAAAAAATGTACATTTCTAATTTTAATCGGCTAAGTTGAACAAAATACCATTATGCAATGCAGCCATGTAGCTCAAATTTCAATCACTAAACTATGGAAAACTGTTGTGAAAAAGAAAAAAAAAAGAAAAATAGGTAAAAGCCCAAAATATTTCAACAACTCAAATCGTTTTTTCTTTTTTAATTTTATCAAACGGCAGAAACTGAACCAGACTTTACCTCTTAAAAAATTTAAATCAAATCTCATCTACACAAGTACAATTTTGGTACAAGCCAATTTATTTTAGAACTATTAATTACCAAAATTACAATCCTCCACCACAAGTCATGCATATAAATATGTATTAATATATAGGGAGCCTCTACGGTAAGACATTTTAAAAAATCTTCTGGTCAAACACATTGTTTTAACTGTTGGATTAAGTTTTTAACGATTAGATCTGTGCAAGTCTTTAAAAATTTATGGTGCACCACACATAATTACTTTCTACAGATCTATTGAAAAAGTAATCTAACAGTGAAAACAGTGTTATGCCAATAGATTTTTTTAGTGATATATGTATAGGTTGATAAACTATCTTATATTTTGTGCCCCTGTGTATATAATATCTGTTTGTATAAATACATGCATCTCTAGCTTGAGCATCCTTTTGTCTTTGTGCAATTGCAGTTGCTGTACCAGGGCCCTAAGTGGATGATTTTTTAGGAACAATGCATTTAAGCAGATAATAGAAAGCCAAGTATTTTGTTAATTAATAGAAAAATAAAAAAGAAGCTCAACCACACTGTTCTTGTCCAGCTGTCACATTTTCTTTGGCTGTCTTTTTCTGAAACCAGACTGCAATGGGCACACTATCATTTTCAATTCCACTAAACACAAGGGATAGATAAAGACATGCATTGCAGACAAATGGGGGTTAAACATTTCTTTGGATTATTGAAATCAAGGAAAAAAAAAAAAATCTTAAGGTTATGGTCCTGATCAAAAGTGGAATCTGTTTTAGTGGGCATGCCCTTTTTCCTGGTTTAGGAGTGATGTGAAGATAGGGACAATATTAGCTAGCTGCATTTAATCCGGGATAGTTTTGTCATTTTCCAGCAATTAAAATACTTTTGTTCTTATCTTATGTTTGGTCTATTCCAACTCTGTAACTTGTTATAACAGCCCATTAGGTTGTGTAAGACCTTTTGCCTCCTCTAGACCACAACCAAAAATGTTGTTCAGATATGCAGATTTAAGTTTAAGTAAAAAAAAAAAATGAGGGGGGTTAAAAAGAAAAACCTTTTACCCTTCTCCGTGCCCCGATAAAACACGGGGCAACCCGTCCCATTGGGGGCAGTGGGGCGGGAGGGGTTCCATTTACTCCGCCCCATTTACATCCCTAGATTTAGTCTTAATCATATATTAACCACTTGAAGTAAAGTGTTAAACACTGGTTGTATCCGTTGGCTAGAATGACTATAAAATTGCATTGGTTACAAATGTAACGTTGTATGAAGAGATGTTTAATCTTTATTCAAAATAAAGCTTGCCGTAAAAGGATTTTCTCGTGAAGAAAAAGAAAAGTGGCATATTCTTCTTTCTCCTTTTCAGTATTTTTTGGAGTTTTGCAGGGCAAGAAAACACCACGTAATTTTCCTTTCGACATGTTAACTTGGTAGAGCCAAAACATGGACAAGACATATAAAAGATGCATGATAGAGAATATAAAAACACGTATCATATTGCTTCTTCTTTCTTTTTTTCTTTTTTTTTTTTTTCTCTTGGTAAATATTAATGGATTGTAGAATCAGGTTCAAAGGATCACCAACAAATTAGTATATACCAATAGAGCTTCTTAAACAGCAAAAAATGGCATTAGTTTAAGTTAAGCCTCATGATTTAGAGAGAGAGAGAGAAGTGTCCTAGAGAAAAGAGGAAGAAGCGTGGCAGCTTTTTTATTTTTTATTTTTTTGCTTTTAAAACTTTTTTTCTCTTTTTGAACAATTTTTTTGGGAATGACTGTCTGCTGAAGGTGGAGAGTAGTGGAGCATGTGTGATTGTTTTTTTTATTTTATTTTTTATGGTGAGCTCGTGGAATCTACAAAGCATGCCCAACATTTCCAGCCAAAAGAAACCAACTTTACAATATATAAAAAAAAATTACATGTACATCATATCATATATATTATATAGTATTCTTGGGGATATATGTTTAAACACAAAAAAAATAATAAAAAGGTATATCAACAAAGATCCTCAAGGCTAATAAGGTAGTGGGTGACCAAATGCATCATCAATCTCGAGCCCCAATTTTGGGTTTCCTCGAGATGCTCACATTCTCGTTTCCTTAAATCGGAAGATGTTGTTGTTGTTTTTGTGACTTTACTTGGATGGTCATGCCCAGGGAATGTTGGATTTCTCACAGTCCCAAGCAAAGGCATTTCTCTGTTCCGCACATATGCATTATATACACTCTTCATTTTTTGTGTCTAGTGAAAATTGAAAAAGAAAGAAAATGTTACATCCAATGCACGGCTAATCAAATTCTGGCGCTTTATTTAAATGTTGTATTTCCATTATTTAACACTGATTATATAGTCCGTACTCAAATTTAAATGAAAGAGAAACTAGTATTGGACAGACGATCAATAAAACAGAAAAATTAAGACTTAACAGATTTTAACTTTATAATTGACCATATGTGGAAGAAATTTGGGTTCCATACGTGGGTAATGAATATGTTTATCCTCTCGTAGTTTTATTTCTCATTCTGAACTTTCTTTTTATTTGCTTTTGAATTGAATGGAGCTCTCACAAATACCATTTCTAGGTCAATTGCATGATTGCACCAAAGAAGATTTCCTATTATCTCCTCATCTATGTGTGTTTATGTATTTATTTATTTTTTAATTTCTTTTAGATTCTACCTAAGATTTGGTTAAGTTTAGTTCTGGAAAGACACTAATATAAAAACATTTTATTTCTTCACTATTCTCTTGGCTCCACGACTGGCATGCTGGTCTCCTTTATGCTACTACTACCACCAAAAGAACCTGGCTTTTTCTTTTTCTTTCTTTTTTTTTTACTTGGGTCTGAGTACAGGGAATTTGTGGTTAAATGTTGAATGGGATTGTATCATGGAAATAAAAAGTGTCCTGATTTAAAGAAAAAGCTGAAAACAAATTGAAACCAAACTTTTTGTTTTTTGGGTCTTCTCCCTAGCTTCAAAGCTTGTCAGTCATCATAAACAGGATTCATCATCAGGGTGTTTGTGAATTTGAATGCAATGGGAATGAGAGAAATAGAAGCAGCTGCTCTGTGGTTTTTGGCCTTTCTTTGGTTTTGGAGTTGTGCAAATGGAATTCTTTCTCCCAAAGGAGTGAACTTTGAAGGTAAACTCTTGAAAAAAAATAAAATAAAAAGATACAAAAGTTTAATAACAAGGAAGGATATATATATATATATATATATATATTTTCTCATCTGGGTAATTTGCATTGTTTGTTTCAGTGCAAGCTTTGATGGGAATAAAGCATTCTCTGGAGGATCCTCATGGTGTGCTTGAGAATTGGGATGGTGACTCTGTTGATCCATGTAGTTGGACTATGGTCACTTGCTCTCCTGAAAGCTTAGTCATTGGCTTGTAAGTTGTTATTTCTATATCTCAAGATTTAAAAATTCATTCCAATGGAATAAAAAATCTGAAAATTTGAGGCCTTTGAAATTGTCCTCTTTGCAGAGGCACTCCTAGCCAAAATTTGTCTGGCACTCTTTCTCCAAGCATAGGAAACTTAACAAATCTCCAGATTGTGTAAGTGCCCAATCTTCACAATTTAGAATTGCTTTTGGTTTTTTCTTTTTCAGGTATTGATATTCTGTATTAATTTGCTTTTTCAGGCTTCTCCAGAACAATAACATTAGAGGACCAGTTCCTCCAGAGCTTGGGAAGCTCCAAAAACTTCATACTCTTGATCTGTCCAATAACATGTTCACTGGAGAAATTCCTTCCTCTCTTGGTCACCTCAGAAATCTTCAGTACTTGTAAGAATTCATAAAAGCTCAAAGCTTTTTTTACTACTGGAAAAATATATAAATTTATTCTAATTCTGATATGGATGGATTGTGCTGTAACCGGATTTAGGAGGCTCAACAATAACAGTCTCTCTGGAGAAATTCCAACGTCATTGGCTAATATGACCCAGCTTGCCTTCTTGTAAATCTCTTGGCCGTTTCTTTCGTTATTTTTTTTTGAATAAAATATGATTCTCAAGTATGTTCTTTCTTCTCATTCTGTTATCTTCTGGTTTTCAGAGACATGTCCTACAATAATCTCAGCAGCTCTGTACCTAGATTTCCTGCTAAAACATTCAAGTAACTCTCTCTCTCTCTCTCTCTATAGAAAAGAATTAAATGCAAAACTTTTTCACCATTATTCTTCTTGCCCATTTCAGCATTGTTGGAAATCCCTTGATCTGTCCAACGGGATCTGAACCAGTCTGCAATGGGATGGCACTCATGCCAATGTCAATGAACCTGAATAGTACTGAAAGTAAGCAAATTTGAATTACTCTCCAACGTTTTCTATAACTTCTTGCATTTATTACTTCCAACTTCCATATGTTAAAAGTTTTCAGTATGTGTAATTTTGTGCGGACTCTCAACTCAGTTTCTTTTCTTCACAATCAGCTCTGCCTTCTGGCAAGCCTAGAAGCCACAAAGTAGCCCTTGCCTTTGGTTTGAGCCTGGGATGCCTATGTCTAATCATGCTTGTATTCGGAGCTGTTTTGTGGTGGAGGCATAGGCGCAACAAGCAAACATTCTTTGATGTTAAAGGTTTGTTAAGTAAAAATGAAACATGCTAATAAGACATTATATTTATAAAAAAAAAAGAAAAAAGAAATGGTCAATTCCTTTACTTAAAATCCCGTGTGTCATTGAATTCCAGACCGGCATCACGAAGAAATTTCTCTCGGAAACTTGAAGAGGTTCCAGTTCAGGGAACTTCAGATTGCAACAAACAACTTCAGCAGCAAGAACATACTAGGAAAGGGTGGTTTTGGAAACGTGTACAAAGGGACTCTGCAAGATGGCACTCTTGTGGCAGTCAAGAGGCTTAAAGACGGCAGTGCACTCGGAGGAGAGATCCAATTCCAGACCGAGGTCGAGATGATCAGCTTAGCGGTTCACAGGAACCTTCTCAGACTCTATGGATTTTGCATTACACCCACAGAAAGGCTTCTAATTTATCCATATATGTCCAATGGCAGTGTTGCCTCTCGTCTAAAAGGTAAAACAAAAGTTTTTTTTTTTTTGCTATGACATGAAAGGATCACAATTCTTAGTTTATGGTTTTAACTCGTAAGTTGATATGAACAGGAAAACCGGTATTGGATTGGAGCACCAGGAAGAGAATTGCGCTAGGGGCTGCGAGAGGGCTATTGTACCTTCATGAGCAGTGTGACCCGAAGATAATACATAGAGATGTGAAGGCTGCAAATATACTGCTGGATGACTATTGTGAGGCTGTGGTGGGGGATTTTGGTCTGGCAAAGCTTTTGGATCACCAAGATTCACACGTGACCACAGCCGTGAGAGGCACAGTCGGGCACATTGCTCCCGAGTATCTCTCCACCGGACAATCTTCTGAGAAAACGGATGTTTTCGGGTTCGGCATCCTTCTACTCGAACTCATCACAGGCCAGAGGGCACTAGAGTTTGGCAAGGCTGCTAACCAGAAAGGAGCCATTCTTGATTGGGTTAGCTTACTTTCTTTGAAACTGTACCATTTAGGCCCATTAACTCATTAGCATAAAAGTACTCATTTGCCAATCTTTACCACTTCATTTATGTGACGTTGAATTGTTCTCATCACAGGTAAGAAAGATTCATCAAGAAAAGAAGCTTGAGATGCTAGTAGACAAGGATCTTAAGAGTGACTATGATAGAGTTGAGCTTGAGGAAATGGTTCAAGTGGCTCTTTTGTGCACTCAATACCTTCCGGGTAGAAGACCAAAGATGTCTGAAGTGGTGAGAATGCTTGAAGGCGATGGGCTTGTGGAACGATGGGAAGCCTCGCAAAGAGTCGAGTCAACCAAGGGCAAGCCTCAGGAGTTCTCGTCCTCAGACAGATACTCTGATCTCACAGATGATTCTTCACTACTAGTCCAAGCAATGGAGCTTTCTGGTCCAAGATGATTTCTCTTCTAAAATGAAAATTTTACCTCCTTTATAATCAAACCGGGCAATATCTTAGGAACATATTATAGTTGAAGCTATTAAGTTAAAAATGAAAATTGAGAGTTGTTTTTTTTCTTTCCTTTTGCTGTATATCAGAGATCCAAAGGTTTTGATGTTTGTACTGCAATTGTACATAATATTGTTTCGCGAAGCTGATAATGTAATCGATATTCCTCTTTTTTTTTTTTTTTTTTTTTTTTCAGCAAATAACAAAACGTTATCTATTGCCATAAATGAAAAATCTTAATGAACCTCGTGTTGGAAAGGAATAGGAACTATTGAGTCCAAAATCGTCAAGTGTTTACTTCTATTCTTGGGACTTTGAGGACTCTTTGTAAACGTAAACTCAGGATAGATTGAATAGATTTCTATATTGCAATTAATCAAATGCAGCCACAAAAGTACGCACATTTTTTTGAAGCCAACTTCAAAACCAATGTCCAAAAATCCTATGCTATGCTTTCCTCAAGGAAACAACATCGAAATAACTTACTTTGAGCAAATACAAACATTAGAAGGGCGGTAATCACCAGAACACAGAAAGCCACTTAGATTCAGAACCTAAAAATGATTAGAGGAAAGTTAAGCTTAAAATCTTGACATGTTCTGAAGCACGCCTGGTTTGCCGGATTAGTTCTTCCGGGATCGTTGCAATGTCAATCCCTTAAGAAAAGGGCATTTGAAAATTAAACACCCTGGTGTATCAGTATCTACGCAAAAGCTGCAGGCTTGTGAGGCTGCTAAACTCTTCAAAAGCATAAGCCATTGGCAGCATCATAACATAACCAAAAAGCGCCAAGCAGCTTGGTTTGAACAGGATAACAGATCGAAAGGGAACTTGAAACTTTGCGGCTATTGGAACGCCTTAAGAACAAGCTCCTTCGCGCCTTTCGCAGATAAGAAGGCGATCCACCGAAGCAAAATGGAAATTGTCCGAGGGGGCGATGAGTAACAAGGTTTTACTTCTCAATTGGCCCACTACTTTTGTTCAGTTGAACTCGATGAAGGATTTTTGGTAAATGTGATCCCACCTTTCTACTTTGTCCAACGTCATTGAATTACAAAAGATGTTATCATAAAAAAAAAAAGCAACGTGTGAAAGGCCAGTCCATTTGTCGTCTTCACTTACTTGACAAGGCACTAGTCCTCACAGCCTATTTTAAGGAAAGGTGCACAAGGATACTGTCTAACACATCTCAAGGCAAATTGCTAATCCTATCCAAATTCATAATTCCTCTTTTTTTTTTTGTTTTTTTTTCAATTCTCCTGGAAGGTAAACTAATCAAAAGATCTTAGCTTATAGTAGCAAAGAAACAAAGAAATTATGGTCTTGTTCGACTCAAATCATATTTCTATAATATTTTTTCTTATATAAATTTAAATTTAACTTTTTTACTACAATATTTTTCTCTCACATACACAACTTAAGTCATAATTTGAGTTGTGCAAATGAACACACCCTATATTTAGAATTTGAAGTTATATTCATTTTTTAGGATTGTTTTTTTTTTTTTTAATGCAAGCCAGCCTTAATTTATTTATGTATGTATTTATTTATTTATTCTTTTGGTAGTATATAAATGTTGATTTCAGCTGTCCACCAATTTGACTTGTATTATTGATACACGCTAAAAGTAAAGTCCAACTTTTCAGAAAGACTTTACTCAAAAGAGAAAAAAAAATTTTTTCCATAAAAAAAAAGAAAATAAAAAGACCTCTATAAATTGTTGTCCATTCTTTTATATAGAGTAAGGGTGAAAGAATTGAGCCCGACCCCAGCTAACCCGATCCAACCCGAAAATATAGGGTTATAGATATATATATATTTTAAAAATCGGATTCAAATAGGCCCAACCCCCAATGTGCGGGTTGGGCCGCGAGGCGGGTAGCATTTAACTCGAGTTGCCCGACCCAGCCGTTTATGAATGAATACCCATAGTTTGTAAGTTGTAACCCTAATTTCCCAAATCCTTCCTCGCCTCCTAGTTCACTTCAGCCTCCCTCGCCTCCCAAACCTCCTAAATCCTTCCTCGCCTCCCAAGTCTCCGAAATCCTTCCTCGCCTCCGCCTCCATCTCGCCTCCACCTCCATCTCGCCTCACCCTCAGTTTCGCACTCTCGATCATCCTCAGTCTCGCACTCTCTCGATTTCGCCTCCCTCTGTCCCTCAGTCTCGATCTCGCCTTTGCCTTACCCTCAGTCTCGCACTCTCACCTATCACCTCCCCCTCACCCTCAGTATCGCACTCTCGATCTCGCCTCCCTCACCCTCAGTCTCGCACTCTCTGGATCTCGCCTCAGTCTCGCACTCTCTTGATCTCGCCTCCCCCAGTCTCGCACTCTCTCGTTCCTCAATCTGCGTTCCTCTTCTTCTTCTCCGCGCCTCTTATTTGAACAGATTATCTGAAATCTTCATTGAAGACAATCGGCAAGAGACTCTAAACTCTCCGTGCCTCTTGATTGAAGAGTTTGTTTTTTCCTTTCTTTTGGCTGATTGCTCATTGTTGAACATGGTTTTCTTAATTTTGATTGCCTGATTTGAGGTTTGTCTAAACTTGATTCTAAACTTGCTCATTGAACAGATTGCTCATTGAAGACTCTAAACTTGATTGCCTGATTCGAGGTTTGTTTCCTTCCTTTCGAACTTCGTTTTGCTTTTTTTTTTCTTTTTTCTGATTTCTGAATTGGTTTTCTTTTGCCTGATTCGGGGTTCTTTCTGAATTAATTTTCTGATTTCTTTTTGCTTTTGTATGAATGTTTACAGGGATGTTCTTTTTTCTGATTGATTATTGATTATATTAATTATGTGTTTATGCCATATTGATTATATTATACCATATTGATTTTATTGATTACAAATCAAATAAGGTTTCTGTTTTTGTTTCCAAATCTTGTTTTTGTTTCTAAATCTTGTTTTTGTTTACAAATCATATTGATTATATTGATTACAAATCAAATAAGGTTTCTGTTTTTGCTTCCAAAATCTTGTTTTTGTTTACAAATAATATTGATTATATTATTACAAATCAACTTCTTTTTGTTTTTGTTTGTGCCATATTGACTCTCGTTTGATGTTGGTACTCATTTTTGATAATATTGAGCTTTAATAATATGGTACTCGTTTGTTGTTTTCAAAATCTTGACTCTCGTTTGATGTTAGTTTCTGGTTTTTTGTTTCCAGCTGAGGAAGAAGAGTGAAGACTGAAGAGGCATTTTCAGTCTATAGTCTATACTCGAAAAAGGTTAAGAAGAAGGCAAGGCTAAAACAGAAAGGTTAGTTTTTTTATTATATTTTTTTTTGTTTTTTGTTTTATGTTTGTTTTGTGATAACTGAGAACTGAGAAATATTATGTTTTCATGAGAATTGAGATGAACTGGTTTTAGGTTAATCTCTACGCTTAGTCTCAATCATATGTTATTTATTTTTTAGGTTAATTTGTGTGCTAGATGGAAAAATTTATCATCCACCCGACACAAACTTCTGAAAGCACTTGTTAGTCCTCTGCTGAAACAGAAAGTGACCAATGTCAGACCAAAAATCCAACCTCCGTCTCTGTGCCTAAAGAACCCATTACCTTGCCTACTCCCACACCCAGCCCTGCCCCTGTACCTATTTTGGGCACTGAAATTGAAAACAAAAAAAGAAGAGGGAGACAGTAAAAAGAGAAAGAAGTCACAAAAAAAGTCTCTTGTTTGGGATCATTTCAAAATCATAGAGGGTGAGGATCCAGATGAGCCTAGGTGTAAGTGTATCCATTGTGGGGCAACATATGCATGTGATAATAGGAGACATGACACCAATAGTATGAAGGTTCACATAGAAAAACAATGCAAGAAATACCTATATAGGATCCAAGATAAAAAGCAAAAAATTCTGAGTTTCCAAACCAACACTAAAATTGGCAGTAATCTTGTTGCTATAGGTTTTAACAAGGAGCATTGTAGAAAAGTGTTAGCAAAAATGGTGATTGTAGATGAGCTTTCATTTAGGTTTGTTAAAGGTGAAGGATTTAAGAATTTTTGTCAAGTGACGCAGCCTAGATTCTCTATCCCCTCCCGTGTTATGATTGCCAAGGACATTTACCAACTTTTTTTGGAAGAGAGGAAGAAATTGAGGACTGAATTTAGTAAGGGCAGCCAAAGGATTTGCCTAACAACTGATTGTTGGATATCCTTGCAAAATATTAATTATTTGTGTCTAACTGCATACTACGTTGATAGTGAGTGGATTTTGTAAAAAAAGATTATAAACTTTTGTCAAATTTCAAGCCATAAGGGAGAGAGTGTTGGTAAAGTCATTGAGTCATACTTGCATGCTTGGGGTATTGAGAGAGTCTTCACTATGACTGTTGATAATGCCTCCTCAAATGACTCCATGATTACCTACTTGAGAAGGAAGATTAAGGGGTGGAAAGGGGTTGTTTTAGGTCAGAAATTTCTGCATGTTAGGTGTTGTGCCCATATAGTGAACTTGATTATCAATTAAGGTTTAAAAGACCTACATAATTCCATAGCTGCCATTCATAACGCTGTGAGGTATGTGAGGTCTTCTCCGGCTAGGTTGTTGAAATTCAAGTCATGTGTGGAGCGAGAAAAGATTGAATATAAAGGTCTTGTAGTCCTAGATGTCCCTACTAGATGGAACTCCACCTATATGATGTTAGATGCAACCATTAAGTTTTAAAAAGCTTTCGAAAGATATGAAGAGGAAGATGACAAGTTAATGTCTTATTTTCGGGAAGAGGACGGGGGAAACAGAAGATTGGCCCGCCACTTGATGATGATTGGGAGAATGTTAAGGTGTTTGTGAAATTTCTGAAAACTTTTTATGATATAACTTTGAAGTTTAGTGCGACTTTGAATGTCACTTCAAATTCTTACTTTCATGAGCTTTGTGAGATGCAAAACCAGCTATCTGAATTAAGCAAACAAGAGGATTCAATGCTTTCATCCATGGCTGCGCGTATGAAAAAGAAGTATGACAAGTATTGGGAAAATGTTGAGAATATAAATTGTCTTCTCTTTGTGGCTGTTGTACTTGATCCTAGGTACAAAATGGATTATTTGACATATTGTTTCTCTATAGTGTATGATTCCCGCACTTCTGAAACATTAGCAAAGAATGTGAA